AAGCAACAGGTTTTGATAGGTCAAGAAGATACAGCACCTGCTCTGCAGCTCTGTTTTCCAGGGCACAAGCTGTGCCAGGAAGAGCAGACAAAGCTACCACACATTGTGCCCAGCCCCCTCTGCCAGCAGCCCCAGGGCTGCTGCCTCACTTACATCCTGGCTCCTCCAGACTTTGATGGTCCTGTCCTGGGAGGAGGAGTAGATCAAGCCATCGCCCCCCCACTTCACACACGTCACAGACTGCGTGTGACTCGTGAGGATTTTGTCACACCTGCCCATCAGTGTGTCCCAGATGCGGACGCTGCCGTCCTTGGAGGCACTCGCCAGGTAACGACACTCTGGGTTTCTGGGGAAAAAGAACAAATCCATTTGTGCAGCGCACACAGTTCCTCCACCAAGCTCTCTCCCCACCACCCCCAGCAGATTTAAGAGTCCAGAAGTCAATAAAATACAACTGTCTTTTGGCTTAAGATCTGCAAGAGGCCAGGCAGGGGCAGAGCACTGACTTACAGAGACCAAAGTCTCACAAAGCAGGGGACAGGCAGACAAATGCTTCCTCCAAACCAACTCCTGGGCTGCACAGTCGAGGCACCAATCCAGGGTAAACCTTGCACCTGAGCCCTTGGCAGTGACCTTGTTTGCACAGGGCAGAGCTTTAACCAGCTGGCTTAAGAGGGCACCCCAAAACTGGCACCTTCCCCAGGCAGGGGACCAGCCTCACCCAGGCTGTGCAGACCAGTGGCACTGGGAATGCACTGGATGCTCCCCTGCCCATGCCATGCTTATCTCCAGCCTGTGGACAGAGTGCTCCTGCGCTGGCAGGACCAAAAGGAGCAACGTCCATCCATGTGGCTCAGGGGGGCAAATTTAACACACCTGGAAGCAGCTGGCACAACCCATCAAGGACAGGGGAGCCACAACCCTCTGTCCTTTGCACAACACCTTCATCACTCAGCCTGGTGCCATGAGGAGCAGTGAGGAAGAACAGCCCCTCCTGTTGCACTGGGACTGGCTGGAGAAAAGAGAAGTGCAGCCCTGCCAGGGTCATGTCTCTCCTTTCCATTTCCTCATGCTCCTTTACAATAATTTTTCACTAATCCAGTTAATTGTTTGCAAATAGCTGGAGCTTCCTACTGGCAAATTCAATTTGCAGGGCCCTGCACTGAAGGGACCCTTTTTCTTTCTTTTTTTATTTATTTCTATAACGTCTTGGATTATTGGCTATAACTGCCCCCTCCACCCACCTCTCCCAGAGGGAGCTTTAGCTGATCGAAGGGATAAGGGGATTGCACAGTTAATCATCCCTCATGATAAACAAACAGGATGACAGAGGCCAGTAGGATCAGGAGAGCAGGAGGGAATGCTCTGCAGAGCCTGCACTTGGGGACCTCCAGGCTTCCCTGCTCCCAGCTCAGCATGCCATGGAGGAGCACACCAAATATTTGTCCAGCACCACAAAAGCAGTGCTTTCCAGAGGCAGGTATGTCTTTTACACAGGGGAAAAGAGGCACAGCCTGGCAGTGACTTCATGGCTGGGGCTCCTGGCTCTCCCAGCTGGACACATTTTTCCCAGCCCACCTTGGGAGCCGTTCTCCTGCACGTGCTTTTTCCCATAACAGGAGAAAGGCAAACAGGAGCAACGCCCTTCAGGTCAGGCTGCTCTTTTCCATAGGAGTCAAGGGGAAGGGCTGGGCTGACCCCTCACTTACATGTGGAGCGGTTCCCAGCACAGACATGTGATCCATTTGGAGTGGCCAGACAGCACCCGGCCGATCTGGCTGCCCGTGGCTGGGTCCCAGAGAAATATCTGTCCAAGAGAGGAAGCGAGAGGGTCGCGTCAGGCCACAGACATCATGTGAATCCCAGGGACGCTGGAGCTCCGTTTAGGAAGCAAAGGTGTCCCTGGTGTCCGCTGAAACTGGCAGAGGCAGGAGGAGCAAGGGAAGGGGGCTGGATGCCTTTCCAGATCCCTGCAGCCGTCAGCTGACACCCAAAAGAATGAGAGCTGACTGCCCTCCTCTCTGCCTACAGCGCTGCTGCTACAAATTATCTGACTAAATTATCTGACTCAACTCAAAATGGATACAGGTCCCCAAAAAGCCACCCCGTGCCAGAGACTCAGTGAGTGTTTGCAGAGCACAACGAAAGCCACAGCGCGCTAAGTGCTGCTTATTATCAGATTCTGTGGGTGGGACACATGCTGGTTTTCTCTTGTTGATTCTCTCTCTACATAAATGTTCATCTAAAGAGCCAAGGTATTAGTCATCTCCTACTTGAGAACCTGGGAAAAATAGGGAAATAGAGGACAAGCAGCTCCCTGGGTTCGATTAAAGCCAGACCAGCACCAAACCACGGCGGAACCATCCTGGTCCAGCCTGTTTCCTTGGGGACAGAATCACAACCTTGGCAGTTCCACGGTTGCTCTCACTGCTCCCAGATTGTTCGAAGGTCAAAGTGAGCCACTGCCCCTCTATGGCTCAGCAAGTTCCTGACTCGAGTTCAGCTGAGTGCTCCCGCTTCCCGAGGCATTTCTGCACCTTAAGCACATACATTCTTCCCCACAGCCAGGGCAGAGCCCCCTTCACATTCCTACAAGAGGGAATTTGGCTGTATCTGCGTGAGAACGCTGCAAAACAGGCTGCTGCTGCATGTCTGGGTCACTACAGCAGCCCTGGACTGGCTGGGCAATAACCATTCTCAATCCAGACATCTCCCTTGTGATAGAGCCGCCTGCCAAGGATCACATCTAGAGCCTGGACTCTTTCCTGCACGGAGGGAAAAGCATCTGCCACAAGACAGCAGGACTCAGCAACAAGAGGTCCACAAGGTGACAAAGCCAGAACTCTGCCTGGCACAGAGTCTGAAGACACTACTTGCAATACCACAATGCATCCACACATAAAGCTCCTCTGGGGAACAGGAATCCTGCTCAAAACAACTGGATACACCCCTCACAGCCCAGGAAACACAAGCCTTCGCCCCTAATCCCTCACAGCCCTTCACCAAGTTTGGTTTGAGTTCAGAATGGGGCTGCAGAGGGTCTCCAAGCTCCCACTGACCCCCAGCCCCACACAGAGGGAGCCAACACGCACCTGGCCGTTCTTGCAGCCCGAGGCCAGCTTCTTGCCATCCGGTGACCAGGCAATGCTGAGCACCCAGTGCCGGTGACCTGGCAGAGAGAGCACGAGTGGGCATGAGTGGAGAGCTGTGATTATCCTCAGTGTCCCAGCAGGAAGCCACTCCAAGGAAGTACAAGACAGGGGGAACCCCCTGTGCTCCTCCTGGCCAGCCCCTCTTCTTCCACTTCGTCAAAGAGAGCCCCTCCCTCCCCAAGCCATGGTTCTCCTACACAGCTCAGGCAGCACCAGGTTCTGCTCTCCTTGTCCCCCAAGCAGGCAGGGGGTCCCTTGAGGGACACCCCACACCCACCTTTGGCCGTGAACTGCGGCGTTTCCGTGCTGAGATCCCAGAAGCGGACGGTGGTGTCTCCAGAGCCGCTCGCCAGGTACCTGGGAGAGGATGAAGACCCCAGCTCAGCACAGTGTCCCCAGGAGAGGACAAGAGCAGCAGCTGCCTCGCCCCGAGCCCCCCGCCTGCAGGCAGACCCTCGTACTTTCCGGTGGGGCTGAAGGCCACGGAGATGACGGCCTCGGTGTGCCCCTCGAGGGAGCTGGTGCAGCGCGTCACCGCCCGCACCCGGAACACCGCCTGCGGCTGGTAGATGATGTCCAGCACCTTCTCCGTCTCCACGCTCTGCCCCGCCAGGGTCTTCTCCAGCGACGCCACAATCTCGGCATCGTGGACGAAGAAGGCCAGGGGCACCGGCTCATCCTGCGGGAGAAAGGGCAGGTGAGGTAGCGAGGGGCGGCTCCGGGTAGGGCTCGGGAGTGCCGGGGTAGTTCGGGAGGGTTCTCACCTTCTGCAGGAGGGCGTTGCAGACCAGCTGCAGCTTGTCCGGGGTGATGGTGACCGGGACGTCGAAGGGCGAGCCCAGGGACTCTCCCGCCTCATCCCGAAACTGGATCAGGAGCCGCTGCACATCCTCGTCCGGCGACATGTTCTGCGGGACAGCGCGCTCAGGGCCGGGAACCCCACCGGGCAGCGGAGACAGCCCCCCACCCGGGCAACGATACCCGCGTGGGGGAGAAGGAGCCGCTACGGGGGGACCCGGCGTGGACACCGGGGGAGGGAGGAACCCCCCTCACTGAGCAGGACCCCGCGCGGGATGAGGTCGGCGGGAGCCCCACGGGGGAACCCCAGAGCGCCCCAGCATCCCCACCCGCCCAGCATCCCACGTGGAATTCCAGCAGTCCGGCCCCGCTCCCCGCTCCCGCTCACCGCGGCCATGTGCGCGCGCCCCACGTGGGCCGGAAGGGGCGTGGCCGCGGCGGGAGCGGCCGAGCGCGGCGTTGCTGCCCCCTGGCGGCCGGCGGGCAGCGCCGACCCCGGGCCGCGGGTTCGAGACTCCCCCGGGACACCGCCCGCGCTGCCCACACCAGGGGGTTTGGTGCCCTTCTAGAACACACCTCCGGTGTTCGGGACCAAAACTAGGCTAGAAACGACTCCACGTGACCACATCCACCCCAGACAGCACAACAGCTTAAGGAACTCAGCCCTGTGCAATATTCACACCCAAACCCGGGGCCTAGTCTGCATACTGCCCAGCTGGAAAACCGAGTCAGCCTCAAAGCAAGAACAGGTGAGGGGTTAAATTCCTGCACAGAAGAGGATTCAAGCATGCACAGTTCAATACTGCACTACAGCACCAAGCCCTGCCCCTTTCCCAGCCAAATCTGACATGTCCTGTGATTTAGTCCTGTAGACTGGATTATTATTTAGTATTTCACCACACTGTCATTAACAAAATCCATTAAGGAAACGTGGCCACAACTGCCAAGGACAAAGCATTCAGGGATTTGTTTCTTTTATAACCCCCTAAAACTCACACTAAAAAAAAACCCCACATAACTTCCAAATCCCAGGAAAACAGAAAATTGACACAAATTTTAATATTTATATATTTTAAATCAAAACACAATTAAATATAGTATGTTTTAAGTACATGAATGCTTAGGTATGAGAGAAATAAGAGGTGGTACACAGTACCAAAAACCTATACACAGCCTTTTTTTTTCTTTTTGCTTTTTCATAGACAATACAGTGTGTCTCTATACAATCGAATATTGCAACAGAATAACACTTGCTAGTCAATCAAGATATTCTGAACATTGGAAATGATTTGAGTTCTTCGCATAGTGATTTCTTTGCACAAGTTTGAGGAAAAAAGCAATCATCAGAGTAAAAAAAAAAAAAAAAAAAAGACCCAAAATAAGTGTTGTATACTAAAAATGCAGCAGTAACATAATGGTGAGACACTGAGTACTTCTGATACCCTGCAAAAATCAATTCACTGGAAAAAAAAAAAAAAAAAGAGGTGCTGTGTAACATGGTAAGTGTTGACAGTGTCAGGAAGAAGGCCAGAGGTCATTAAGAATTGCTTTTCTTTGTAAACCAAACATCTGGAATTAGATACTGTGTTGGTTGGAGGACAACAAGCGGTGGAGAATGGCAGCAATTACTTTTTTTCCTCGCTCGTGGGATGGAGAGGACAGAAAATGGAGCAGTTTCCAGGGTCCAACCTGCTCGGAGCCGTGGCTTGGGAGCTGCCCAGGTGCAGGATCCGAGTGTGCTCTGTGGTGGAAGCAGGGGGGGTGTGTGTGCAGGGGCACGAGCTCAGCAAGGAGGAGTTACACTGCTCCTGATCCTTCTATCCTGCCCTCAAAGTTAATGTAGTTATGAAGTAAAATACATTTATCTTACAGTTGAATACTCATCTATTTCAAGTAACGGAAAATAAAACTTAAGAACTTTCTAGGTCATTCACTGCCCATGAATTCACCCTTCCAGGTTCACCTCTCCAGTGGCCAGTGGAGGGGATGTGCCCCGAGGCCTTTGCAATTGTGTTTAAAAATTACAAGTAGTAGAACTAGAAATTACAGCAAAACCTTCCCCTCTGCTGTGGCCTGTGTCCCATTCCAGACATTTTGCTTAAAAGTCTTTTTGAGACAGGGTCAAGTATTTGTGAAGTCGATCACAGTTTCTCAGTGACACACTTGTAAACTGCATCTTCATCTCTAAAAACCATCATTACTGTGAATGCCGCATACAACAGGAAAAAGTGTTTCTTCACTCTACAGTGGAGGTACAGGATTGCTTCTCTTTCATTCTTCCTTAGAAATGAGGGAGATCTCGGCGGTTGGAGTAACAGTGCTTTGTTTTTATTGGCTGTGTTAAAGAATCCACCAAAAGGGAAAGTTCATTCATTCTCAAAGTGGAAAAACAGATTTCCTGTTCTGGAGTTTCTAAAATCATAGCTGGAAAAGGAAAAACAGGGTTAGAGAACATTCTGCCATAAAACATACAAAGGCAGTTGCTCAATAGAAAGATATTTTGTGTTTAAAAACATTGAAGCCAGGTATGTTCGAGTTTGAGAGAGAAAAAAAACCCCAAATCTAATCCCAACACACTCAACCTTTTGATTATTTGCATAATTGAATCCAGAGCATCTGCAGCCACTTGATATTTCTAAATACTGTGCTGAGGGACCTTTTCATCCAGCCAGACTGGAATTGTAGCCAAGTTACCAAATGAAATCATTATACAAGTTATTTAAACATAACTGGTCTATTAGAAAGGAAGCAGCCATAGGAAACTATGGATTCACCTATTTGGGTCTAATAACTAAATCACCTTCCACAGCTAAACATAATGCCAGTTAATTTTTAGGCAGTCAGAAGTACCAGACATTAACTTGGTAACCTGCTGTCACCAACATTTCACCAAATCTAACTGCTGCATCAGAACTAAACAGAGAACACACAGGCTGAACACCACCACAGTCACAAACACCACCACTCAACACTAATCCCCCAGCCTATGGCCAGGGCTGCTGTGTCCTTTCAAAGTCTAAGGACAGAACTGTGTAAATGAGTGCACCCAACGAGACAATTTCCCCACCGCAGAGTTTTACTGACATTTTAGGCAGATGTACAAGTATTGATTAACAAGAAACAGCAAGTGTGAACTCAAGTAAGGAATTACAGTATTGATCCTGCAACACAAATCACCCTTTTAACTAATAAAGTGGTTTGTAAAGACTCAAACTAAGACCAGCTTAATGCCTGCAGAGGAGAACCACCACAGGCATCTGTTAAGAAATTCCTACATCATCCGTAGGCCGAAACACTTCCAACCTTTGTTTCTTCATATCATGCTATGCCAGTTTGAACATTTACCAGCGTGGGTTTCAGAGGCACGAGGAAGGCAAGTGAGAGCTCTGCTCCTCCCACAGCCTGGCCTGAGCCAGATGAAGACAGGCAGCCTTTCCACCCCCTTACCTTCGTAACCTTCTCCGAAGGCTGTTCACATTGCGCCTGCTGCATGACGTCGTTGACTATCATCTTTGCTATCCTCCAAGCCATCTCTTCTTGAGCCTGCCGTGGAAAAAACAGCCCAAAATACAGTTATAGCTTCAGGTTCTTGAAATAAAAACACAGTGCCCTCAGCACAGTGCACTTGGAGTCGTGGTTAACCTCCACAACTCAGTGACCTGTACAAACGTGTCTCCCTCGATGGAAACACACCTGGCTTTTATTTTTATATTTACAGCTCGATGCAGTTTCCAAGAGAGTTAGGGAAGTTTTTAGATTTGGCTGTTGGGGATTTGTCCAAAGCCTTCTAAGGGGGAAAAATGCAGCCTGTAATCCATGTACAGTGGTCACTTCGTGGTAAAAAACAAACAACAGCACCTCCACTCCTACTTGATCTTTAAGGTCCCTTCCAATCCTAACCATTCTATGATTTTATATAACACCACAATAAGAAAAACTCGGACTGCAGGCACACATTTAACCATTATATCAGTTAAACCAGCAAGCACTGGCAAAGATCAAACTAGTTTCACACATCCATGCAATCAGATTATATTTAGCACACAGTCTCACAGTTCTTGTTGGTGCAGCAAAAAAGATACTGAGAGAAACAGCCAGGATTAAGGACTTTAATACTTTATCTCCCTTATATATACTGGAAAGTAAGTCACAAGGACAACATGAAAAGAGGACACACCTCGTCTGTGTTTCCTTGAACCCATTTCTTCATTGCTTGTGAAAACATGGACCCTGAGATAAAAACAACAAGCAAGGTATGTCAGCAAACTGTGGCACACACCTCTCCCAAAGCTAATTCCTGTCATCCCTCTGAAGGGGTTGCACTGCTGGCATTTGAGGGCACAGAGGAGTGGCATGAGAGACAAGGGACTGTGTGGGAGCCACGGTTCATGGACACTGAGCCCGAACCATCCGCCTTTACCAGAGCTGGAAAGCAGCACTAACAGCAGGTCCCAGCCTGGGTGGGAAGCATGTGGAGAGCTGCAGTTCCTTCTCATCTCGAGACCAAATCTCTGAGGGTTTGATCATCAGCTCAGCTGCTAGCAGCTTCCATCCCTGCCAGGTTCCATCGACAGCTCCGACTCCCACAGGCTGCTCATACTCCCCGGAGTCCAGCTGGACCAGAAAAGCAGAATTTGGATAGGAAACTGGGCCAGAGATGGGGTTTGCTTCAGTATAGGACAATCCCCTAAACAGCTCTATTTGGCTTAAAACAGATCTGGAAAGAGTCAAGAATCTTGCTTTTCTTGACTGCAGTAGGGAAGAGAGCAGCTCTGCAGATGTTTACAGGAATGCAGAGAAAGAGGAAAGCAAACCTTTTGATTTTTTGACATCAGGCTCCGGTTCAGATTCTCTGATGAACTGTCCCAGGTCACTGACACGTCCAAATGTCATCTTCCTGAGGAGAGGAGGGGTAAAGAACCATATGGGTTACCAGGACAGCTTTGGCATTGTGGAAAGCTACCAGTCAGGAAAACAACAAAGCAACCACAACAAAGACTCCAGAGTCAGGAGACTGACATTTTACCCAGCACCATCTCTTCCACCTAAAATTGATATACTGGGAAAAACCTCCCACTCTTCTCATGCATCTGAATTTGAAGAGTATCCAAAAAGTTCTTCTGGAAACCAGAAGCAGGCAAATGCTTCAGTGACTTGGTCATGGACTATCAGCAGGCAGGGCTGGCAAGTGCTCTGCACTATCACAAAAACATGTCATGAGGGAGAAACAGTTTACAGGACCTAAAAGGACAAAAGACTGGTGTGCAATAGAAAAGCCAGGTAGCTACAGAAACAATTTCTGTACAAGATCCACAGAGCAGAAGAGCTTTATAACAAAGAGCAACTGTACAATCAGCTAAAGAAATGAAGTATAAGCCCTTCTCTTTCATGAGGGTAGGGAGAAATAAACTTCCCTTTGCCCATTACAATACCAAAGTTGCCTGAACTTATTCTTTTCTCTTCCAACCCCAAATAGGAGCTACTTGGCTGTATTTTGGGATCAAAGAGGAATAATAACTGGGACAAAGAGAAAAATCAATTGGAAATGTTTTTCTGGCTGCCATTCTGGTCAGAGAAACATTCACTATTAGTGTTAAATCACACTTATGATATAAATTTAGTTTCACATGTTAAGACATGGACTAATATCTTCTGTTCAGGCCTATTCTCCCTGCAGGAGGACAGGGCAAATATGAAACAGAGGTGAAACATGTAACCAGAAAGGATGAGATACACTGAAATGAACCTTACCCTGCATATGTTCGTTGATATAAGGATTCTGGATCCAGACTTGCAGCATCTACAATTATTGCTTCATCAAAATTTTTCAGGATTTTAACATTAGCCTTTTTGACATTGGACTACAAATAAAAATTCTAAGTATTAGTGCCCAATGCAGACAACTCAGCTTCTTAACAAAACTGCAATTATAGCGCTTTTAACACTTAGACCTCCATCAAGTCTCTAAACAAGCATAAAGCAATTAGAAAACATCTACTCAGCCATGAATTCCTACCTCAGTATGACATTGTTTTTAAACAGAGGATGACAAAGTTCTATGACCAGAGCCAAAGACACACTGCCCAGGTCAGCACACATGTGCCAGGGCTGAGCATTATCAGCTCAACAGATCTGTGGGTGCACACAAATCATCTGTTGTGAGCCTGTAGCACTGAACCACCTCCAAAGCTTCACTCATCCCTCTCATGCACTTGGGAAGCAATTCCCAAACACAGATGCCTCCTCCGTGCACGGAGAACAAACATTTATCTTCTGGCCTGGAGTATTTATGTAAGATCATGAAAAGAGCCAAGGCAACATCAGAGCAACAGCAGGGAGAGCAGGAACACACAGCGATCCATTATCACCTGGGCACAGAACAGAAACATCCATGGCAGCTGCCTTGCAACCTCCTTCCCTGCTGCTCTGCCTAAGTGCTGCTCTTTATGCAAAAATATGCAGAGAGCCAGAGATTCTCCTATTCAGACAAGCAGGAATGCACAGCACTGAGTGCAGCACTTCATTTCCTAAACCATCCAGCCAATTACCAGCAGTTCCCCCTGCTCAGACTATCAAGCAGCAGGATGTTTTCAAGAGCACAGATTTTATTCCCCACTTTGCAACTAGGGGAGGAATATTCCCTCCTTGCAAATTTGGAGGTTTAAATATACTACAAGCAGGTAACACAGCTTCCAAGTTACAACAGCTTCCTATTGATTGAAAAAAGGGGTATTTCTAATACAAAGAGTTTTTAAATGTTATGGCACTATGAAACAGTGTTCAGTAATATTAACAGCTTAATAAAAATATAACTTTGATGGCAAAGCACTAAAAGCAGCACAAGGTTTTGGGTACAAGAAATACCACAGATACCCTTCCCTGCCAATATCTGACAGAACTTAGCAGCAGTAGGTTAAACACATCCTAATGGAACAGGCTTTAAATAAAAGTGGAATGGGAAGCTTCAAATCATGAGATATTTCCTTACAGTGTATGAACTTGGATATAGACACAGAAAAGCTACTGCAGCATTTGCTGGAAGAGAATCAAACCAAGGAATCTGTACCTGGGAGGCAGAGCCATCCGGGGCCCCTATGGAATCACTGTCAGGAGAGCTGCCATGGCCATGGATACTCAGTGCAATATTCCCTCCCTGGAATTCATCTCCTCGTACTGAATGGATGAGATCGTTCAAGTACTTGTAGTAAAGGTTGCTGGACAAGAAACCAGGTAAAAAAACCTGAGAGACAGAAAGAATCCTCTTTAATTCGAGGCTGACACACAAGCATCTCAGTCCTTGGGTAGACAGAACACAAGTAGAAGTGTCCACACAGGGAATTATTCTGGATTAGCAACTGCATTGCTTTGAATTTTAATCCTACTGCAAAATGAACAAATCCAACTGCCTATTAACCAAACCCTCCAGTACAGGAGCTGAAGCTCAGATCTTTTTTCCACCTCTAGAAACTAAGCCTGACAGCCCAACAGCTTACAGGTATTTTGCTATGCTGTTCAAAACCATCTGCAGCTCCAGAATGAAATCACTCATTTCTAGTATCTGGGTACCCCAGAGTTACATTATTAGCCACAGCACTGATATCAGACTTGCAAACAACTCCTACTAGGAGAAAGGAAAAATTTCTAAAGATATAAAATAAGCTGTTGATAGCAATTCACATGGGAGGAAATTCTGTTACTTCCATTAAACTGCACTAATTACCCAAGACAAACATTTCACAGAGCATTAACAGCAGCCAGTGGGTGGTATCTTCAAATCAGGCTGGGGGAAACAGCCTAGCAAATTTTACCAGAGCTATTATCTATTATCCAGGCAAACAGGAAGCCAGTAAAAGAACAGGACAAATCAGGGATGCTGAAGGGGACACTGCAGAACTTCCACATCACCTCTCTAACTGTCAAACCCGCTCTGAAGGAGGGGTCTCACCGTCTCCATGGTGGTCCACGCCTGTCTTAAGGGAGTGGTGAAGCAGTTGGGGAGAGGCCCCCCCTCCCTGCAGATGTTGGATTCGATTTCCAGCCTCACCGAGTCATCAAAGCCCAGGGGATGTGTGGCCTGGAGGGAGAAGTACCTGCAGCACAAATAACAGAGAGATTTGCAAACCTTTGCAGGTGGTCAGAGCCCACCTGTCCCCCAGGCCCTGAGGTAATGACACTCCAAAACCTGCACACACCTGGTCCCCACTGGCTACAGGTGAGAACTACAGGTACTGCAGGTGAGAACAACCCCTCACTCACAGAAATGGTTCTGAGAGCCCTGCCCTGAAGGCACAACGGATAAAAGCAGCAGAGCATGATGTGATCACTGGTGAGCAGAATGTGACACAGCTTCAGACAGGGAAGCTGGAATGGAGCAGGGAACACCCAGAACTCTGAAGCAGCATTTGCTCTGCTGCTCAGATCATTGAAAGCTGAGTTTACGGATGGGTGTGATGAGCCTCAGGCTGAATTGTTTGCTTTCTCTCCAATTATTATTTCCTCCTTGGGTAATAACTCAACAAGCTCGTGGTAAGGAGTCACACTTAAGCTTAAGAACAGACTTTTCCTGGAAGCAGTTTTGATGTCTGTCTTCCAGTTGTCTTATTGCTAAAGTGAAGCACAAATTAAAGGAGAAAAGTTCCTCCCCTGAAAGTCTTGATATTAAAAAGGATCTGACTGCTTCCTTAAAAAAAAAGAATGTAATTTGTAATACTAAGAACAAGCTTTTATTATGTGTGATAACAGTTCCTACAGCCTACTTTATATGGATAACAGTATCTGGACATTAAGGATTTTCTACAGTGATGTACCTGCTATTAGGTCTAAATCCTTTACATTTTCAAATGGCAACCAATCAGCTTTGATACTTCAAACCAAACCAACTCAAGCAATCGAGTCTTGAAAATTCTGAATTATGTTTAAGAATGGAATCCTTGTAAGGATTTTCTCCTCATGTATAAGGAAAAATGTGAAAAGTTCCTGTGTGCAAACCTGAATAAAATGCATCTCAGCAGAACAGCACAGGACTGCAGAGTTATGGTTTGAAAATGAAATTTTCCTTTTGCACAGTGCAACACAAAACTACAACCACAAAAGCAAGGAACTGCTGAACTCCCTTACTTGTCATATAAAATCATGGCATCGTTCTGTGCTTCCTGCCCATCATACTGGCCTTTTTTGGCAGCAAGTTGAGACTGGAAGTTATCTGCTGCCAACCAGAACTGCAGTACATTAACTGCATCTTCCTTCTCCATGTACTGGAAGGGAAATCACAAAAAGAGGAGAAATTAAAGAAGTTTAGCAAGAAACTTTCAATAAGCATAGACAAAGCTTCTCCTTCCCATTTGAAACAAGAAACATGGTTCGTATATTAGTGATGCAAAATTGTCACCAGGACAGAGAAATATTTTTATTTTTCCTGTTGCAGACAGATTTAGTTTAAAAAAAAAATTAAAAACTTCTGAGATTTCATTTCTGTACAGATTTTCACATTTAGATTCCAAACAACTATTTATTTGTCTCACACTAAAGACAGAAACCACCATTTTCATGCTACACTTAGTTTACACTGAACTCAGCACATTGTCTCAGCTTCCCCACCTGCTGTTCCAAACTACATCAGCTTGTCAGACTGCCAGGACAAGTATTTCAAGAGCTGATTCCCTAAAGGTGCAGGACCCTGAAACTGTGAAATCCCACATTTAACCTATCACATCCCAACCTGGTGCCCTCTCCACATAACACTGCTGAACGATTTGTTATCTGTAATAACACTTAAGGCTTTCAAAGTCACTGCTTCAATTTGCAAGGTCAAGACAACTATGTCAAAGCTTCTATAAAGCAAAGAGACACTCAGAAGCACTCACTGACTGGAGAAGATGTGCACAAATACTCATTCCACAATACAGTGGATGGGTCTGAACAATTGAATTAGTTCTACATGTGAGCAGGAAATAATTTCATGCATTTTTTCCCAGAAAAAGGTACACCTCATTTTTTTAAAATGATATTAGTCATAGAATGACAAAACGGTTTGGCTTGGAAAAGACCTTAAATAGTATCTCATTCCAATCCCCTGCCATGGGCAGGGACACCTTCCAGTATCCCAGGTTGCTCCAAGCCCCTTCCAACCTGGCCTTGGACACTTCCAGAGATGGGGCAGCCACAGCTTCTGTGGGTGACCTGTGCCAGGGCCTCCCCACCCTCACAGGGAAGAATTTCTTCCTAATATCTAATCCAAAGCCATCGAGGAATGAACAGGTTTTTTCATTTGCTAGAAAGGAACACAAAAGCAAATCCAAAGCCTGACACTCACCTCAGAGAAGTAGAACAGGGCTGACTCACAGAAGAGGATGTCAGCCAGATACACAGTCCCACTAGTCAGCACCTCAATCTGGTATTTACAGAAATGATGACTTCGTAAAAACTCGCTAAAGTGCCTGCACAGAGAGAGGGACAATCAGGTATGGAGGGTTCCCAGCATTCAGGGCACCCTAAGAACCAACCAGCTCTCACCCAGAAGTCTGATACTTTCAGTTGGATAAAAGCAGAACAAGCAAGAAACAGGGCAGGTTTACAGACAACACAAGAAAGAGACAGAGAACACGACAACAGCGTGCACAGCCAACTGCAGCAGGTGAGCACAAAAATGGGTTTGGGGGGAGGGATCTGAGCAGCTGCAAATACAGAAGGCTGCACAGAAAAATGCTTATGTGGTTACATGTCCAGAAACACTTTTAACAGAACCTTTAGCAAAAGGACAAGAGCCATGAGAATCCCAACCATTCCATCAACTTACTCTTGTTCCATTGCATTAAACACTATGGACTGTGCTGTAACAAAACAGTTGGGGTCCACTTGGCCATCTTCCCCACAAATCTTTGCTGCAAAGAAAGACCAGGGTAATTTTAATATGGATTTGGCTGATGGAACTGTGACTAGTGACTGAAAAACTGCAGTTCAAATCCACTAGGATCAACTGGTTCTGGCTGAGCAAAAAGAGCTTTTAAAGTACTGCGGGTGGCCAAATGATAATACTATGGCTAAAATGCTTGATTGAGACTCAAATCTGGATCCCCTCCATAACCACCAGTAATTCTTTCCCTAATTTAAGTAAAATCTCTGAAATTTCTTCTGGGGACATTGCACATCACTACTGAAAGGTCAGACCTACTGATACCTGTAATCTACTAGCATTTTACAACTGACTTTAAAATTCATAGAAATAAAAGCAAGTGTGTGAGGTATTAAAGATACACTTTTATAGGGAAGGAGCAACTCTGAAATGGGTAACCAGCATTAATTCTTACCAACTATGTCATTTCTCATTGCTTCTGTAATAGGGATTGGTTTAGCAGCATCTGGAGAAATATATTTGGTAAAAGTACTAACTGCATCCCGTTCTATACCTGCGAGGAAGAAACACAGAATCAAACTCTGAATTCCTTGGTCTGAAACAAGGAGTGAATAACAAACATCTGCTCTTCAGAAAAGCAAGTGTGTCATTCTCATCAACAAGTTCCCTCCAATGAAGCTTTCAGTGCACTGCTGGATACTCTGCTGCTGAGAAGCTGCAGTGGCTGTGTGATCTCCAGCCAGGTCACAAAAAGCCCAGCATGGACTAAAATAGAATAAAGCAACGTGCTCTGAATTTTCCCTGCCACCAGACAAGGCAGCACCTGCTTCCTCAGCTGCACACCTTAGTCCCAGAAGCAGCACCTTTCTGGCAAGTGAAGTTCCCAATTTCTAGCTCTCATCACGAAGAAATCACTGGAATAATAAAGGAACTACAAGGAAAAAAAACAATCTTAAAATGGGATGCCTCAAACAAGTTGTGTGCTTTACACATCATCTTTTGAGACTTGGGACTCTGCTCTGGAAGAGAGAAAAAAATTACACTAAAATGCTTTTCAGATTTCTCAAGAAGGACCAGTGCTTTCAAATTCTTTTTAGGTATAAGAAGGCAGAGGTGTTTTTCATGACTAAAATATAATTTCCCTTGTTTCAGTGACTTTGGGGCTGAGGTTATGTACTGTGGAGGCAGATGATAAAGAACCAAATGAGAAAGACAAAACAAAGAGAAAGGGATGCAACATGAGGAAACAGTTGGGCAAACAAAAGGAACTGATATGAAGAAAGAAATGTTCCCTTTTTGTCTGTAAACTTGCACAAATGAGGGAGGTGCAAAGTAGAGAAGCAGGTTACTGTGCATGTAGCTTACTACCAAAAGGAAATATTTTAATTTCATCCTCACTTCCAGTAGCCTCTGAAGAGGTGGAATCCAAATGACAACAAATCAGTTACAAGGGGAGGAACTCTAGCAAATAAATCCAAGAACAAAAACAGTACATTCCACACACAGATCTCTACACACCTCTTGTAATCTCTTGTCATCATTACTTATGTCATTTTACGTGATACAGGATATTTACCTTCCATACAAAGTTAATTATCAATTCTCAGCCCCTTCATCCAAATTTTCTGCAATTTTTTTTAAGTTGGGATGGGACAGGTGAGGGACAAACAGGACATTGCAATGTTCATCTTCATTTCTTACAATTACAGATGTAAGAACAGAAGCAACCTAAGCTTATTGAGCACATAATGATTTTGAAGTCTCTTCAGCAGTATATTTACTTTTAATTGAGACAAAGAATACACAGTTCAAACTGACCAGTAGCTGACACAGCAAGTTAATATCACTGATACATAAAATTCTTTTCCTCCCAACATCCCACCATACTTGCTAAGAACATGAGAGCTGAGGCAGCTCCCTGCACACTCCCCATTTCCCACCTTTTCAACGAAAGGGAACACACAGCACTTACTTTTCATGAGTTTTCCTGACAAGTCCTTTAGTGCAGAGGAGGGGCTGTTTCTATTTGATACTGAAAGCTTGGAAGATTCTTGTTGCTCAGCTGGAAGAGAGTGAGTCCCTGTCTCTGACTTCCTTAGACAAAGAACACTGGCACTGCCACACTCCTGACCCGGGAGCACGTGGTTCTGGCTGTTCCCAGTTCTGTCCTTCCTGCCCGACGCCGCGGGCTCGGCCCGGAGCAGTCGGGCTGTGCCAGAATCCTCCAGTCTCTCCTCAAGCAACCCAGCTGGAGGAGATGATGCCAATTCCTGCTGTTTGGAGGGTGACACTGGCTCTGCCAGGGAGCTCTGCTTCACGGTGTTCAGGCTGTGCGCGCGGATGCGGGACCACGTCGTGGAGTGGAAGCTCTCGGCCTCTAACCAGAACTTCACCAAGTGTTCCATCCTGCGCAGCTCCATGAACTGGATGAAATAAGGGAGGGCTACACTGTCCTGCAGGACTTGTTCAAGGGTCTTTGAAAGGCTTGATTTGGTCTCTTCAGCCTGATAATTCAGACACGATCTGCCTAAAGGAAAACACAGAGGAAATGACTCCATGTTGTACTGCAGAGGTGGGCATTGGACACAAAGGTGCCTCTTCACAGCTACATTGCAGGACAATTCCAAAACAGTGGTGGAACACAAAGTAAAGGAACCTTTTTAAACAAACAATCTGCTGTCCCCATTCAAAACCCTCCCAGGTAACACAGGTGTTACTGTAACAGCAGCCACATTCTTATTACCCACCTACTTGCCTGAAAACCAAGAGATGGTGAGTATATCAGAAATAAAAAAGAAATGCTGACATTATTCCAGAGGTGATGAGGCCTTACCTAAGTCTCCAAAATGAGCAGCTTCCATGTGACTTGGCTGCTTCTTAAGGGCAGCTGTCCGGCTGCTGGAGAAAGAGTCCATGTTGGCAGAGATGGCATTAATGGCCACATGGCTTGGTCCTGCAGCCTCCAGCAAGGCATGATTTCTAGTGCTTCTTTGAGGGGAATGTACTGGGATTGGAGCTGGAATCAAGACAGGAACGATTAAAACACAAGGACCCCAAGACCTCTGTTAAACAGAACCCAGTGCTAAGCCCCCCAGAATGAGCCAAGGAGTTTGCAAGATTCAGCCTTATTAAAACCTCATTGTACCACTGTGTGTTATCTTTGATCAAGGATCTGACAAGAGGGAAGACCACGAGTTTTATTACAGCAAGAATAAATTCACTCCCACCCAAATCGATTTTCCTTATTGAGCAGCAAAGCAAGAGAGGCCAAGTCTAAGTTCACACGTGAAATATTATTCCTGAGTCTTCCTGCTTCCTTGATAAGCACTATCAATAGCTCAATACTCTGTCAACAATTTAGTTTCATTCCAGTGCTCCTGCCAATCCATTTCCATGCCTTTTTGAAGGCTAAAGCTGTGTTACAAGCCCCTGAACCACAAGGTTATCTGTGAGTTTTAACAAGAGGATTTTTCAAAAATATTTTTGTTGTCTCCACTTGGGTCTAAGAGGAAAAAAAGCAATAAGGCAATACCTCTGTGAAACCCATGTGAGCTTAAACCCCTCTGGCTGTTTTAGGACATGACTGGGTGTTGGAACAAAAAAGAACAAAGAAGAACTTCCTCTCACAAACCTCTGCCAGTGAAAAGGCATCAACTAATTGTCAACTGATGACAAAGCTGAAAATAACAAAACATGTTCACAGCAGTTTCCAAAGCTCTCAGGAAGCTGCCTTCGACTGGGATGTCATGCAGGGACATCTTACACCTCTGACTCAAAAATAAAGCACGTCAGATGACACGTTATCTCAGCACACCACTTCCCAGTGATGTGTTTCATCAAGGTGTCAAGAAACTTGGGGTTTATGACTTCCATGATGCATCACTTTATTTTTATTCCCAATTTTATGACACATGCTGGCACAAGTCAACAATTTCAGACTCGCATGTCAAGGTAATAGATCCCTCAGGAGCAACGGTACAGGAGAGTTAAAACATTTGAGTTACTGTGAAGTGTTTGGTACCAAGACACCACTTGCTGCTTCTTACAAAGCCTCTGGTATTTCATACCAGCAACGATGGAGAAAATACCTTTTTTTCCAAGGCCAAGGGAGGGCAGCAATGGGAGAACTTGGTGGAAGCTACTCATGTAGAACCAGAGCCACACTCCTCACAACGCTTCAGGCTTTTGTAAATTAGATTCAAGTTTAATTCTGTATGGACATCTGAGAAAAAATTATTCTACTTTATCTAAGGGTCAAACACCTGTTCCAAAGCCTCAGGACAGCACCACATCATGTCATACACAACTTACTGTTTCCCATATTTGATTTGAGAGACCACCAAGGTGAAAAAAAGTCTTTATTTCTCTCTTGATATGCAGATAACACATTAACAAGTACAGAAACAGGATTTTGTCTGAGGGTATAAAAGTAACAGACCAGATTCATGCATTTACCTCATCTCCTTTTAGTACTGCAAGAAAAACTGACAGGATAAGCAAACTTGTTTTCCCACAGTTTATACATTTCTCTTCCATCATGACTTTTTTCCCTTTTCTAACAGATTTAGCAGCAAGATCTCTGTACCACATGGAAGAGCAGCAGCAGAACAGCTATTCCTTCTCACCAGGATTTGCACCTTCAGCCTCACAAGCCACATCAGACAGAGTTAAATCATATCCTGCAGACACAGTGAAGCTGCATTTTCCAAACTCCAAAGGACACCATGTGTGAGCAAGAAACTGCAGGAGCAATTTGTTGCAGATAAGGAATAACCACCATGCACAAGGTGACCGACTTGCCTGATCACTTTGAATTAAAGCTCATGGCTGACATAATTTAATAACCCTCTGCACCTACAGATTCAGCAAGATGAGTAGGGAAGATTAGTTACTATAAATACTCAGAAATAGAATTAAGTTTTGGGTTTGTTTTGGGTTTGATGCACAGGTCAAATGTGCGCTCAGTGTAAGGAAATGATCCTGCTGGGTAAGGTAAAAATGGCAGATGACAGGAGAGATCTGAATTTATAGACAAAACATTGATCTTACTTTTAATTGCTTTCACATCTGTGGTGTTTTCTTGTTCTTTGCCTTTCACTGTAAAATACAAGGGAAAATGTTAATGCTATTTTGGGTGACTGGTGGCATTTACCTGAGAATGGACATAGAATTCCCAACTTCAGCAAGTCTCAGAGGCAGATGTAAGCCATGCTTTTGTTAAAACTGATCTCTCCCTTAAATCTGCACACCCAGTAACTGACAGAGGCTTTTAAAGCTTTCCTGTTGGTTTATTTTCAAAAGCAAAACCTTATCATCCACGAATTAATACTATGTTAAAATTACCATGGAGGAAGATGTCTGCTGTCTATAGGATTAAAGCCAGGCTCTCGGAAGAATGGGAAAGGGGTGTTTTAAGTTTAGGGCACTGGCTGATGCACTCCATGAAATAGAAATCACACACCTAAAAACATCTCCCTCCTATTACAGGAGGAGGAGCACAACTCACACCACTGAAGAGATGACATGGAACCAGCTCCACAAAGCCAGAGCCTCACGACTCCTCAGTCATGATGGATCCCACGGAAATGTTCTGGAAACACACTGCCAATACTTAATTCTCTCACAAACAGGATTGCTTAACCATCACCAAACCTTGGGCAAGCAACTGATGGGGAGATAACAGTTTAAAAAGCTGTGATGGAAGAGTGTTTGGGGCAATGTTTTAAAAAATATTATTTTTTTTTAAAGGAAGCTCCAAAAGGAAGTGAATGAGGAAATCTGTTTAAAACAAAAGTAAAGGAACCCAAGCAGTACATAAACATAATACATAAACAGGATGGCATAAACAGGGGGAAAAAATGAAGTGGTGATATTGGAGAACATGATCTACCACAGAAACCTTCTCCCACTGCTCCAGGCGAGGATTATTGACTACAAATAGGTCATCCCTGAACAGCGACTGTGGAGTCCTTCCAAACACAACCACAACTCACAGCCCAGCACAATCACCACATTTACATCACAAAACACGAGCAGATTAAAAAAAAAAAACAACAAAAAAGACAAAAACCAACCCCTTCCTATCCTGACTTAGGATTTTAAATATTTTAAAGGGAAACTCCAGTCTCCGGTTACATAATTGCCCAGCCCGGGCGGCTGCAGCGCTGCCTGCCAGCCCTCCCTGCGAGGAGAAAAAGCTGCAGGGCTGCAAACTGGCAACTCGGGGTTTAAAATTTAAGCTACCAGCGAGCACATCCTCTGACAGAGACATTTAAGTGTCCATTAAAAGAGGTGGATTCTTCACAAACTGACCTCCTGCCGCCCGGAAGCAGCTGTGACAGAGTAACCAGCCTTTTACATAACTGGGAGCTGATGGGCGGGAGAGAAATCCCTGAGAAAATCTGCATGTCTGAGGTAGCACTGAGGCACAAAGGGAACGGAGCAACCTCTACACAGTACTACAAAACCTTCTCTTTCCAAAATTACTCCAGTATTTCATCAAACCCGTTCCTATCAGCAGTAATTCCCGAGTTTCACACAAGAGCCCTCCATAAGCCTATTTTCAGCCTAAATAGGCCTGTTCCTTCTTACCAACTATTCAGTTCCTCTCTAATTACCTACTTACTACTGGTAATACAAACTCCAGGTTCCAGCTCCAAACCCCTTACACACAGGCTGCCTCTGTCCCCAGCAGCTTGGAGCCCAACAAAGGAATGTCCTTAACTCCAGAGGACAAAGCAAACTCCTCTCTACGGCAACATCAAATTTCAGGGAGTGAGGTTTCACTACACGAATTAACTTTCACTTCCCTCAAAAAGCGGATGTCCCGTGGTGTCTGTGTGAAACCCAGGGCTGAGGGCGTGTGAGATTTCCAGCAGCCAACCCCATTCCAAAGGGGTCACGCGCCAAACCCTCACGTGACGTTCGGGAATTTCAATTCCCATCCTGAAATGCTCAAGAATGAACAAACCCAGGAGACAGTGCACAAAAAACAGCGCGAAACTTCCAGGATTGGCCAACCAGCGGGGCTGCACGTTATTCCCAAGGTGTCCCCAGGGATGAGCGTGTCACCCGTCTGATCCACTGGCAGCAGTTTCATCACCTGCCCTCGAGCGCCCGGCTGCTGCTTCGACTGTTACACTTTGATTTCTCAACCCATTATCCGCCCTCAGTCTCCCAGGCCTTTATTTTACGTCCCGAGCTATAAAAACATTTCACTCTTGTTTTTTGATCCTTGTCATGAATTAATTTAAAAATAGTTCTGATTTTTACCCAGTGCAGCATCCTCCTAAACGACAACAGCTCACCCCAAGAACCCTGGTGCTTGTATGTTTTTTGGACTGCGTGGGTCTACAGTTTTATCCTAAGCTTTAAAGTGCTGCTTTTCTCCCAGCTGCAGTTTAAATCTTCTCTAAAAGCCAAATCTAAAAATGGAGATCACACAAAGCAGTATTTTATGTACAGCCCAGATGAAAGGTTACTCCTCTTCTCTCCTTCACAGCGTCTCTCTCGGGCATTTAGTGCTGATTTGCCTCTTTGACCAAAGATCCTTTAATCAAAGGAACACAGATCCTCAATTACACATCTCAGATAATCAGACATTTCATTCCTTTCTCCCTGAGAAAGCTTCCACCCAAGCTGACCTTGTCCCTATGATCACACACCAGGACGGAACATCAGCTCCACAATTCCCACCAATGAAGCAGCAAAACCTGGTTTTGAAGAGTTTATAACCACTATGAAAGTTTCATTCTGCAGCTCAGTGTTTGAATGCAAGCACTGCAAAAAGGATTATGGCACTTGCAAAGTCCTCAGTGGACTTCCAGAGTCTTTGTATCTGCTGATAAGAACAGTTTAGACACATTTCTTCCAGAACTAACCTCTACAAGGAATGACATTTTCAGTGTTGCTACTTTGGCTGAGCAAGCTCCAGACGACATTTCAGCCAAGAGCAACATCACCACCTCAGATACCACGTTCTTCCCTCCCAAGATGTGCATTTTGGGTTCAGTAATCGAGAAAGGCTTTAGGACAGCACTGCATCAGCCACTGGCAAAGATCAGTGGTTGCACTGCTCGAGCTACAGTCACGAGGTGACAGAACTGTCCCAAAAGGCCCTTCCTAAGAGGTGCCACTTTCTATAAAAACCACCCAAACCACAGCTGTGGGGACTGACAGCACAGTGCCCCTCACTGTGGAACGAGTACAAGCGCCCTCAAAATGCTCCACTCTCAAACAACACTTAAACCACATCCATTTGTGCCATTGGAGCGTTATAAATAATTCAGGAGTCCTAAATTTCCAATCTCGTGCTCCATAACAAACCAATGACAAAATAACCTGCCAGTGACTCCTCTGGCTTTCACAAAGAGCTCGGTGCGATGAGCTCCCTTTTTAACTGGGGTTTTCAGCCGCCGCTGTACATTTCTAGCCTACTGTATTTTTGTAAAAACCCACGCACGTCAGCATTGTGACAAAATAACCTGTAAAGTGCTAAAAGGCTCAGAGCCCGCGGGAGGTGTGGGGGGTGTCACAGGCCCCTCTCCGCCCGGGTCCGCGCTCGGAGCTGCTCACCAGGGGTCGAGACCTCGCGATCCCCTCAGAGCCCCTCCACCCCCGGGGGGGGGACACTCACCGTCATTCCCGCCCAGCCCGCTCCGCAGGGCCCGGCCGTCCTCGCGGGGCCCGCTCACCGCGGCCGGAGCGGCAGGGCCGGGGCCCGGCAGCCGCGCGGGGGACGAGCCCGGCGGCCGCCCGCCCGCCGCCGCCCCCCTGCCTTTCCTCCTGAAGAAGGACATAGCGCCGGGGAGGGGGGGTTCGGCGGCCGGCGGGCCGGGGGAAGGTGGGAGGCAGGGAGGGCGCGGGCCGGTCCCTATGAATGGGGCTCCTGCCCCCGCCCGCCGCCGCCGCTCCCTCCGCCTCTTCCTCCCGCGGCGGCGCCCGCGGCCGCCATGTTGTCAACAACCGCCCCGCGCCCGCTTCCGCCCAGCGCCGCCGCGCGGCACGGCGGGACGCGCCCGCACTCAACATGGCCGCCACGGCGTCGGGCGAGACGGCCAATAGGGGGATGGCTCGTGGCGGCCATGTTGGGTGAGGGCAAACAGCCCGCGAGGGTCTACAGCGGTGAGGGAGGGGAGGCGGCCATCTTTGATCAGGGCTAGGGGCACCGGGCCGGGGGAGGCGGGGGCTGCCATCTTGGTTGAGGGCACAGGTGACCTGGGGACGCTGCGGCAACTCGGGCGCATCCCGTGGGCGCGGGTGACAGAGAGCCCCGAGTGCAGGGGACAGTGGTCCTGAGGGCAGGGGACAATAACCCTGAGGGCAGGGGACAATGGTCCTGAGGGCAGTGGACAATGGTCCTGAGGGCAGTGGACAGTGGTCCTGAGGGCAGGGGACAGCCCTGAGAGCAGGTGACAATGGCCCTGACAGCAGAGGACAGTGATCCTGAGGGCACGGGAGAGTCCTGAGGGCAGGGGACTGTGGTCCTGAGGGCAGGGGACTGTGGTCCTGAGGGCAGGGGACAATGGCCCTGAGGGCAGGGACAGTGGGCGAGCACCGTAGCAGGGCTGTGAGAGCCAAGTGCCCTGCAAAGAATCTGGAAACCTCTGAAATGTGGCCCAAAATGTCCCCTTTGGCCACAGCAGAGGGGACGGACACAGGGACAGATGGCCAGCCCTGGCCCCCATCTGACCCCTTCCCAGGGTCTGTGGGCTCTGCAGCCCCAGCTCTGGTCCCTCATGCCAAGGGCACATCGTGGCCCCGGTCAGTGCCTTGTGTGCTGCAGGAATGTGGCAGCTCCGTCATTCCATCCCAAACCACCCGGACACACCAGAAATCCCTGCCAGGCTGCATAGCGCCCGTCAGGACGTGGGGACACTGCCGGGTCCTGGCAATCGCTGTCTGATAAGTCAGTTCCGTCTGCGTCCCGGATCCTGCCACAAAAATCCTCTTAATTATCCTCCCGAGGCAAATCTGCTCTTTCCTCAGCCACCAAGGACGTTTGTCATTATAACTCAGCACTCAGGTTGATCTCTGAGGAGCAGATCTCTGATATAAATGCTTTGCAAACACTGTATAAAGACTATTGTTATAAATTCAGGTTTGTGTATGAGGAAACTGAGGCATGGACCCAGAGAGCAGCTCTCCTCAAACCATACAGCTCCACCTGATCCGTGCAGCAAACCATCCAGCCTTTTCCTGGGAATCTGCCGTGAGTGCCATGAACTCCAGCAATGGTGAGAAGGGAGAGACACAAACTGAGTCACTTTCCTGTGGGATTTAGTGCTCCATACCAGGCAGGAATTACCTTTCCAAGCACACAACTCTCAGCCCAGTTCCTCTGCAAGGTGTTTTATGCCACGACGTTTCTGGGCTTGATCCCCAGGACCTTGTTCCATGGGCCCAATTAACAAAACACCACGAGAATCCCAAAACAATCCCCACAGGAGGTGCAGGGATCACAGGAGGCAGCTGCAGCTCTTCCTCCCCCCCCCCCCCCCCCCCGTGTCACCCCTCTGCCATGTAACTGTCCTGCCCTCGGTGCTTGAGCCATGAGAAAATGATGTGATTAATAATCATTATGAAAGTTCCTGCACCATCTTTCACCCAAGTGTTCCAAAGCTCTTTACAAACACTCAGTAATTAACACTCATAAATTGTAAATTGCATAAAAGGTACGTGGGGATCTTCCAGGGCTGGTCTGGAGCCGTCTCTCGGGCAGGATGGTGCAGCTGATCAACACCCTGTAGCAACTGCATTTTCTCTTTTGATATTGTTTTTGTTAACTGATGCTCTTTGATACAGTTTTGTACACATGCCCAGAGGCTGGTTGGAGGATAATGAACTATCCTATATGGTTTCTGCATAATGAATGGAGTTATTTAATTGGCCCATAACCTAAGAGACTGCTAGTAGACTAAAACATTCAAAACATGAGCAAATAGGAAAGAATGGGATGACTCAGGGAACACTGAATTAACAGCCTCTGTCAAAGAAATTTGCACCCACTCCTCTTGGGTTTCAGTGTTGGGGTTGAAGAAGAATGCAGTGATTTACATCCTTTGGGGTGGGTGAATTGCAGGCATTGCTCATCCCACTTGGTGAGGAAAACCTTCTATGTTGCAACTCATTTTCAAGCAGCAGCTCCTTTTCCAAAAACCTCATCCAACCTGTCAGAGTCTTTGGGATAATTCAATTTTCTTTGCATCAGATTCTGGATAACTGAGGAAACCTCAAGATATGAGAGTCTGGCATGAATTACCTTTCCTGGACTGAAATTTTCTCCCCTTTCTGGGAATGTGGAGAAGGGCTGAAGCTCCAATCTGCAGTTGGTCACTGGAGATCTGAACTGAAAGAGTGAGTGACAGCAGGTTCTGGAGTCTTTAACAGCACGTGAGAGTTTAATTGTCTGAGCAATCAGCTGAAACATGACTTCAGGACATGGGTTGGCCAATGTCAGAGAAGCTGAGGGACTCCTCCCTGAATTAAAATATTCAAATAAAAAAAAAAAAGCCTCCCTGCCTGGTGATTTTTCCCTCTCCACAGCTAGAAAAATAAACAAATTTTAATAAGATCTAAATGGAGTGATCTTGTTTGGACAGAACTAATAAAGCAGAACAAGACTTTGGCGTCTTTGACGTGGGTAATTAATCACAGGGAACTGCCCTGCTCAATTACAGCACAAAAACACAAATGTAACAAATCATGTTAGAGGCCATTCTCATTTCTCACATCTGTGGGACAGTCCATTTGTTTACATGTATTCACATGATGCTGAGATTCTCTCTCACATTTAGTCATAAAAACTATATGACAAAGGGCTTTAACAGCTGAGATCTTACTCTGCAATCAGTAATAATGCCCAAAATATATAAAGAGTCAAGAATGCCTTTGTACAGAAACACACTAGAGCTTAAAAACCATATATTCCAAACATTGCCATTGGAACTGTTAAAAAATAATACAATATTATTTCAAACAAAAAATCAGACATCTTGCAAAATAAGCAATACAGGTATAATCACTAGGAATCCAAGAATTAGTGGTGGGGGAGAGTGGGAAAAATGCAGCACAGACATATATTGGTGCACAACAGGATGCTGGGGAAGCTGGAAAATGAAGAAGAAGGAACTGATACATCACAGCAGGGCTGCTCCGAAACTGCAGTCTCAGCAGCTTCAATTACAGACTTATATTTTCCTCCTTTTTATTTTTTTTTTTAATGGGAAAACAAGTGTCTGCATGCACATACAGAATTCCCAGCAAATTTGGATGTGGCTGACCTCAGTCCTTGGGAACAGGAGGGTTGGTACCTGCTTCTCAACTCTGCTGGGGATTTCAAAGAAGGGAATCCTCCCAGTCCCAGCCTGGAAAAAAAATAACTGGTTTCATTAAAACATTGCAACTCCTCCTTGTCTCCTTCCACGGAGCACATGCCTGAGCAGGGAGGTTTGTTCCTCCATGCCTGCTGGTTGGGCACAAGCAAGGGGTGACTCTCAGTGGGTGAGTGGGTGGGTTAAAACTTGAGGTTTGAAGCATAAAATGGGGGGGGGGAAGGGGAAAAACAGGCTCAGTCCCAGCAGAAAGAGCTGCTGGAGATGTGCAGAGACAAACAGAAAAGCCCTCACACACCAGGTTCTGAGCCTTTCTCCAGGCTGCTCCTCCAGCAAGGAAGCCTTTTCTGCAGGGCTTTAGTGCCACTCCGGAATTATTCTGAATTTGTGAAAACAAAGCAGCTTGTTCCCACCTCCGCTCTGCCCACATGGAATTGCCAGAGCTGTGTGGGACTCACCTCAGATGACCGTTCTCCAATCCGCCTTGTTTTTCCCAAGTTTTTGGCCATTCTACGGTGTCCTAAATACTTGAAAAACAATAATCTAGTTTAAGTGAAAAGTTAAAAAAATAATAATCTAGTTTAAGACCATTTTCTGTATTTCTCCATTTACGCTTTTTATTTTCCCGTCTTTGCTTTTCTAAATGCCTCAAGGAGTACGAGAAGTGATGCAGCACATGGCAGCTCTCGGGTATTTCTGCAAACCAGGGATATGGGGAAAAAACAAGGCTGAGTGTGATTTTGTCCGTTCGAAACTCTCGTGGAAGTCACAGGACAAGCAGCATCCCCACGGAGGATGTCCCACAGGACAAGACACACCCCCGTGAAGCCCAAACGCTGCATCCAGACGGAACCGCGGCGCGTTATCCCGGAGGTTGTGCCCGTGAACTGAGCTGGAAGTGCGGATGATTTGCCATCGGTTCGCTCCCGGGGCAGCCCGGCTCCTGCCGCAGCACTCCGGGCGCACACCAGGAGAGGGTGCCAAGCCCCCGGCTTCTGCTGCCGGGAACCGCACGGGCTTCCCAGCACCGCCGGGCTCTGAGCCCTCTCCAAAGGCTGCAACTGAGACACCAGGCAACGCACCCCGGATCTGAAGGAACACTCTTTTTTAAATCAAAATACCTTTAACTGTTTCAGCGGTGTCGGCAGTTAAGTGCCTTAAACACGGCTGAGGACGTTCGGGCGGGATAAAGATATTTTTTGCTATATTAAGAAGGGATTTGGCTCTTTTGGATTGTGGCTGATGGACGTGGGTCCGCTCGGGGGGACAGCTGAGCTTCTGGAGGTCGAGAAAACCTCGTCAGATCTGCGAGGCGCAAGGACATCAATTCCTGCTGCACAGCGACAGCGACCGGGAGGTTTAGAAGGAATAAAACCTGATCCATGAAGTTTCCGAATGACTGTTGTAAAAATCCATCTGCACTGGGAGGCGCAGCTTTTACACCTAAAGTAAGCGCAGGCTCCCGGGCAGCCGCTTTGCCTCGCTCTCTCCCCACTCTGCCCCCAAGACTTTGGAGAAACCTGCGGGATTAAGGGATAGAATTGACATCGCTCAAAGCGAGCAGACCCCGAGCAGATCTCCCTCTCACGGAGGAGCCGAGGACCCCGCGTTTTTAAATCTCCCCCCCCCCCGGTGACACCCGGGCTGCGAGAAACCCCCCGCAAACCCTCCTTCCCCACGCGTGTCCCCGTCCGGGATCGCAGCGGGCGCGGAGCCGCAGCCTCGCACTGGTGGGGGGAGCGCGCGTGTGTTAAAAACATCACCGGCAACCGCAGGAATAAAACGACTCTTTAGCGGCCGCCCCGCAGCGAAACGGCGTAAAACAGCCCAAAACCGTGCGCGCAGGTGACCGCCCCGGGATTCCCCCCGCCCGCCGCGGGTGTCGCAACCGCGCCCGTGCTCAGCCGCGCCCCGCGGGGCGGGCGGCGCAGGCAGCGCGC